CGATGTGGCGACCCCTGTTGCTCTACATTCACAAGTTGGGTTTTTCTCACTTACTACAGTCTTGAAAAGTATCAACTTAATCCTTGTCGTTTTCTATTATGTAAATGAAAATGCTCACGCGTAAAATAATAAGCCCCTTCTTCTTTTTTTTTCCCTCTCCTGGATTGAATTTCGGTAGAAATGTTCGCTTCTGTGTAGAATTCCTCTACAGTAATAAAAAAATACTGGCAAGAAATAATAAAAACCAGAGAAATAAAGAATGTCAACCCTCCGACCCAAGTTGACATCAGCGTAAAGTAAATCATATATCATATTATTGTAGAATGAATAGTTGTCAACTGGCGTAATTTCTCCCCCGGGGGGGTGGGGAATGGCATGATGGCATCAGTTTGGAATTGATTTCGCATTCTAGATCATATGATTTAACTGAAATTAACATTAAAAAAAGAAGAAGAAGAAGGAAAGGGAGGAAGCCATCCGTCATATATATCATTTTCAAAGGCATAAATTAATTATAAAACATCAAAGTCAAAATAACTTTTAAAATTGACAATTAAGAAAGACCCTGGGAAGAGCATATGGAGATGAGCTGTAAAGTAAACTGGGGAGGAATTTCAACCACGCCTGTTTTTGAAAAGGGCGAGGGAGGTGAATATGTTCTCTCTTTGCTCGTTCCCTTTTTTTTTTTGTCTGCTCTTCAAAATGCTGATGAGTTGTAAGTATTTGGATTTTTCACCTCGTAATTTATAGGAAACAAACAAGACAATAACACTATAACCTTAAATTCCTTCATGAGGAAAAAAAGGGAAATTGTGTGGAAAAGGCGAGGGGAACTCTCCAGGAATCTACTCAAAAGCCTCACAAAGTACAAGTACTTGTGGAGAACAAAGTCGATGGAGCCGTCTATTTCATGGCAAACACTTTGATGAGCAATCCAATGGCATCGCTCCACGTGGCAGCTTGGGCATCGCACCAGTTGGAAGCTCCATGTGTGTCGTGCGGGTGTAGGCAGGCAAAGAACGAACACGCCCACAACATGTCTCTATTTGGTTCTCCACTTTAACTCCACCCCTTCCCCTCGGGGAAAATGGTAGCCCACTTACTTCAATAGGGAACGAGCTTTATTTTCTGTTTTGGGAAGTAGCGTTGCAGAATCTGCTTCAGAACTTATCGGAATCAAACATGACTACTGATGATCTTTGAACTTGAATTGTGGTTGGGGCAGAATGGAAGGCCAGCCCCGCAGAGTGCAAAACTTGATCGGCTTTTGAGCAGGACAGGGTTTGCTGACATGAGGAAAAAGGCTCCGTTAGAAGCCTTGGTTAATCTCCTTGGAATATGACTTTTTTGGCTTTTCTCCGTGGCCCATTTAATGTTGAGAAAGAGGGAAATAAAAGACGACATCATTGGCAAGGGTAGGAGACAAAATGAAAGAAACAAATGGTGCTGAGGTGTGCTTGATTTGATTGAAGGTTGAGGATCGATGTATTGACATGAATCAGTCTCTCATAGAAGAACCAGGAAGATTTCAAAAAAATTAAATTTTTTTTACATTCAGGTATTTTCTGATTTATTTGCAACTGCATGGTCTTCTATTCGAGGGCTGTGAATTTTCCATGAGGCTGAAAACGAAAAAGAAAAAGAGAGTTGGATGGGGACGAGGGAGGAGGGGAGAGAAATTGCCAGCTACAGCTGGTTGGGAGCGGAATTATGCTGGGGAATGGGTCCCACTTTTCATGGATTCTTTTGCCTGATTGAAGCCTCCCCACCCACATCTCCATTCACATTCCCATGGGAATACGTTTCATGCTCACTTCCGTGAGCTCCAGCGTCAGCCGCCATCTCAACAGCAGGCACGTTTTAACTTAATTTTCAATTCAAAAAACAGTATTACTAACATTTATGAAACTTGCACGGGTTTAAGACGACGGATTGGTCACAAGTGTGGGGTCCATTTAGGAAATAATTGAGAGGCTGAGGTGAGGAAGAAAGCTCCGAGCTGGGACTTATAATAATCAAAATCAAACAAACTAGACAGTGACACCTAGTCCAATTCTTTCGAAGTTCGAACACGATGAGGTGAGCCGGAACCCGGAAGTGCTGATATTAAGAAATCGGCGGCAATGCCATGTAAATGAAGTGAACAACCCCACTTGACGCCGATTGCCAAGCCTTGTTTTGACGCCACCATCCCATCTATCCACCGTCCTTCTACAGTGCGCCTTTCTATGCCGTGAAAGTCATATTCTTCGTGTCACATTTTAAAAAGTTCATTTGTTCAGCTCATAAATTATAACACAGTTTTTTTTTTTTACTTTTTAAGTAATATATTTAAAAAATATCCTTCATAAAAAATAATAATATGACTTTATTTTTAAAATTTTTTATGTAAAAGATATATTTGACATTTTGTGCACTTTTATTTCTTTTATTTTTTTTTACATTAATACTGGTAAAGTTGATAGGAAGGTCTTATAAAAGAAATCAGAGAAATATTTCCAATCCAAAACATTTTATTTTTACCTGTTGAATCAAACTTCATCATTTATTCTATTTTACTGCCAATATTATCAAACAAGATTAGCTCCCGTGCATTGCATGTATTATACATGAGATAATTGAATGAAATATTTTAGACACCAATATGACACCAATATTTAAATTACTCTCACCATTCATGTTTCCTCGACAAATTATTCATCCTAGTAGCCTACCATGTGCTAATTTAGAGCCTGTCTAGATATCCTCAAAAATCAATTACGCGGTCTAAAGCCATGATTTTGAAAGGAAAAAAAAATCAAAAAACTCTCAATTTTCCTAAATTTTATTTGATTCTTGAAACTTCATTTTATAAAAGTTAACCAAACACTCTGAATTTTCTCAAATTCCGTTTAGTGCATAAAACTCGATTACGTATAAGCTAAATTTTCCTCCACCTTGTAAATCAATTTTTAAAAATTTTGTCCAAGCATCATCACTCTCCATCAATCAATTTTCTCCTATTGAAATCCAAACATACCCTCAACTTGACTGCACGAATTCGGCGTTTTTTAGCTAAAAGTTAAAAATGAGCCATCAGGTTGAATTGATGTTTTACACCCCAATTGTCGTTCATAAATGCAACCCTAATATATATTTTTATTAAATTAATATGCTACAGCGACTGCACAATACTCCCTCCATTTTTATACTTATAAGAAGAAAAAAAATAATTAACTATAATAATTATATTTAAAAATAAAAAAATTAAACTTAAATACCTTATATTAATCAACATAAATATACTTTAATTATTTTTTATTAATGTAAATTATGAAAAATAATTTATTAAATGTGTAATAAATATTTATTAAAATATGTAATTTTATTTATATAAAAAATAAATAAATAAGTGATGATTTTTTTTTTTAATAAAGAAAGAGAGGCAATGCAATAATGAGAATAACAGATTTCAAAGCCGAAGACTTCACGTACGTGGTATTGATTAGAGATACTGATTGAGATAGCAATCCATGATTACATTTTAAAAATCCGTGGAAAGTAAAGGGCTGTCCAGTGTGGGGCAGATATTTGTTGCAGGAGTTCCTTGCTGCGTCACTGGTTAGCTTCCACTTTCTCACTCACGCAATCATCGCCTAGAGAGTTTTTTTTTTTTTTTTTGTGTTGGGTAGGAAAAAAAAAGGTTCAATCGCCCAAGGAGATTCATCATTTTCAATTTTTATTCTCTCAATATTTACACTTTTTTTCCCCGGACCAATTGGCTGAATGCGACTTCCATTATCTTCGTCATCCCCTCTTGAATCACTGCACTCAACCTTAAAAACCGAATCGAGTTACTTTTAAAGATTAACAACAACACCGATCGCCATGATTTCCTCGGGAAAGAAAATAGAGTCCACAAGTAAAACATCCTATACAAATTAAGACAAGAAAATTTAGCATGGAAAATAATCTAAACTAACGTGTCATATTATCCACTTGCTCGAGAATTATATAAATTATGTGCCGCATTTTACGTGCAAAGAACAGGTGTTGGCAGCTGAAGTGCACGAAATGCTTGCCAGGACTCGTTTGGCGCATTATTATCAGTTGAATAGTAATTATTTTTTTTATTATTTGATAAGAAAATAAAAAAATGAGTCTATAAGATTGCTTCATCTATTATTTGTTTATTCAATGTATAAATGTTAAATTAATTAATTTTTCATTTTTGATTTCAAAGAATGGAGCATCTCATGAAAGCCCAAAAACGGGGATCTATCAGTATTAATGTGTTTAAGCCTGCCCGGGAAAAGGACAAGTTTACAGGACCATGTAATCTTCTGATCCTGAAAGGGATGGGGCTCCAACCTCCAAAGGCAATGCATGCAGTTAAGGCTGATGTTGAAGGTTGGGTTTGGTTTGCACTCAAATTGAGACTTGGGCAGGTTCCCAAAGTCCCAAACCTCAATTTGAATCCCGAGAGTTAAAATTGATCTCGCTTGAATGAAACTGTTGGCGAGGAGTTTTTCAGCTCGTGATACAGCTAGGTCAAAAACTGAATTTTTTACATTTTACTTTCATGCTTAATAATCAATTTCTTTCAGTTTTTTAAAACTCGCCATAAACGCTTCTTAATTACTCGCTTTGTTTTTATATGAAGAAAACAAAACTGCATTATACAAATTGAAAAAATAGATTCATTATAATAATTATATTTAAAAAAATTTGAACTAAAATACTTCATATTAATCAATATAAACATATATTAATTATTTCTTATTAATGTACATTAGAAGAGATAATTTAAAAAATATATAATAAATACTTACTAGAAATTACACACAAATAGTTTGTTTAAATTGACTTCATAATGCCCAACAGCAATCTCAGCGCGCGCCAGAGTGCACCAAAATCAGTTTGACACATAGCACGTTCAAGTCCAAAGTGATTCCCCCCCCCCCCCCCCCCCCAAAAAAAAATACCCAACCCTCGCAAAATAAGCTTACAAAGCCTGTTCCTGGGCCAAACTCCGAAAGCCTATTTATGTAACAAGTTAATCTGCCAATCTTAAAGTCTACGAAATAGAGTTGCGAACATAAATCCCCCAAAAGCACTCCTACAACCTAAACGTTAGGTCTAACCTTTAGACCACGCAGCACAGAGAAGAAACAACCGGACAAAATAACCCTCGAGTAAATCCATTAAAAATGCTACGCTTCATATTAGCCATCTAGACATCAAAAAAAAAAAAAAAAATTGAAGAGGCTCATCCCCCTCGACCCAAGAGAGCATCTGCACGGAATACAGAAGACAGAAACCCAGGGACCACAAAACAGAAGCCATCATGCCACATCAGACCATGGAAAAAAGCATGCCAACAGCAATACGAGTCCACTATGAAATTTTAGCCCTTGAGAAGTCCATCTCCGGATGCTGCGAGACATTGCAAGCACGCATTAGTAAAGGCTCAATTCGAGTATGAAAAGCATATGACTTGAGTCACTAAGAATCAGATGCTCACCTCCGCCATGAACTTCTTTAAAATTTCCTGTTTTTGGAGCTCATCGCTGGTCGGGAGGCCCATAGACTTCTGCCTCTGATCAAACTGTACAATAGTGCAAGAGAATTATCGACTAATAAACCTAAAAACTCCAAAATCTGTATATCAAATGGCATGCAAAGGAATGACCCTAACAACATTGTAGGACTTATACGTGCCAGGTCCTATAACACCGTAAAAGCATACCAATAAACAGATATGACATTTTTAGTTATTAAGTAGATGGATTCACTTGTGTACACCATGCACAATGATTTTAAGCAGCACTAGATAAATCAAAACTAAGTTACCAATAAAACTAAAAGTTAAAATTAAAAATCAATTAAATGGACAATCACTTACCATCATCTTTTCAACAGTCTGTCGTGTCTCTGGATCCAGGTCAGACAGTTTGCTGTTTTCAGGTTCAACTTTTTGTGTGTCAATTTCAGGGTCACCTTTTACCAGACACTTCCACCAGTTCATTTGATCATGCTTGGTCAAAAGTATAGAAACAGACTTTTGATCCTCTGCAAAATCAAGTTTATGCATGATTAGTAGGAAATTACCCCTGACCAATGAATAACAAAGGGATGCCCTCCACAGACCGCTTGCAACAACCCAGCTTCTAACTAAATGCATAAATACAACGAACGTGTTTGATTTTTCGCACCTTTGTTTCATAACTTGGCCGTTTATGTGTTTGTATTATTAAATTTTAAAACTTAAATATTGTTTTCCAAGGATAATTAGTCGTTTACCTATGCTCCAATAGCAGTCATCAGGCTTGACTGAGTTATGTAGCTCCCCCTGCGAATAATCAAACCAACACTAGTCAAATCATCCACATAAAAAGAAGAAAATCAACCAAAAGTCATGCGATAACCAAGAGAGAATTTTTATTTGACAATCAACAAAAGAAATTTAGTCACAAACTTACATCAATAATTGGAGGCTGTCCCTTCAGTCCAACCTTAAGGTGATTCTTCTTTATCTCACAGACAACAAACCTTGATTTGGTTCCATTTGGTACTGGAACAATTACATTGACCTCCTGGAGAGTCTGAGTCCAAGAATATTTCTCCAGATCCAAGCCATTACCTTTGTTAGGAACTGAACAGATACAGAAATGTGAGGAAAATTTCAATGCCTCCAGAGGCATTTACATTCTTAATAAAAGTCCAGAGATATGGAAGAGATAATTCATCTTGGTAATCATCATTACAGCACGGAACCGCCAACTACAAGGGGAGGGCAGGAAGTAAAATTGCAAATGCCTCACACATCATACTCAAAGTGGCTCAACGAGATAAAAGGGCAGGAATTCCTTAAGTCATGACTTCGAAGCCTAAAAAGGACAAATTTTGTACAAATAAACCTCGGAAAATTGCCAAAAGATATAATTCTCTCAATGGCAAAATCCGCCAGAGATAATCCATTGCGCATTAAATCGGTTTTCTGTCAAAGGCTACATATCCTTAAACAAATAACAGGTTCATCTCAGCCCCTTTCCCGATGATCCCACAAACTCAAGACATGAATATAAACACTAAACCAAATTGATAATGCTGTTACCAACAAAACAACGAAACAAACACCTCGGGGACAAATCTATCGGCAAAAACAAAAGGGCCAAAAATAATTTCAAAATTCCACACCCAGAATTTATAAAATCAAGATACCTAAACATCATCTAATCCATGCACATATCAAGTCCGGAATAACAGAGATACATTCCTAGGGCAAGTCTCACATCCACAAACAGAATGTTCTAATCGTTACCTCTAGAGCTACTTTCCTCTTTCTTATCCTCGCGTTTTTCATCCTTCTCTTGCTTTGCTTCAACCTTCTCTTCCTTCAATCTTTTCTCAGCTTTCAACCTCTCCTCGGAGGCCTTCTGCTCCTCTCTCTTCTTCTTCTTCTTCTCCTTTGCACCTCGTACAACCGATGCGATCACCTTTTCAGCAGTCTCATTTCCAAGAAATTCACTTTCTTGGGCGACGAAGTCGAAGACCTTCTCCAGAAAATCCATTGGATTGGAAGGATCAAATTTAGCACTAAAGGTCGAGGGCTGGGAAGACGAAGACGAAGCAGATGCTTTGGCCAGAGACTCATCCTTCTCTTCCTCGTGGAAATCAGAGATTATCGCCATGGCTGAATCAGTTAATTTTTCCTCGCTCGACTTCGGAGTAGGGTTTAGGGTGGCTTGTTCGTACTGAATGGCATTACTTTAAATGGAACGGGGAACGATGTGGAGAATTCCAGAAACTAGTGAAAATGAAAAAAATATATATATATATAAAATATATAAATAATAATTTAACCCCTTAAAATATCATAATATCTTTAAAATTTTTAAAAAACTATTCTATTATTAATAATTAATAAATTCATATAAATTATTAAATTATCATTGTTGAAAATAAACAATTTATAACTCTTGTTTAAATATTTACAATTTTCTTTCTTATATCAGCAATAATATAACAGCAAATCACAACTTCACATGTTAAATTTCTTATTTTCTATTATATTGTTACTAACATAAGAAGAAAAATTATGAATATTTAAATAAAATTTATGAATTATTTATTTTTAATAAGAAAATTTAGTAATTTATATAAATTTATTAACGACATAAAAGTTCTAAGAACTTCAGGGAGATTATAACATTTTGAAGAACTAAATTATTATTTATATATTTTGAAAAAAATTTATTATCATTTTTTTCATAAACTATTCCCTTTTTTATATTTTTTTACAAGCTTGAGCCGATATCAAAGCACATCAGATCACAAACTCAGTGTGTGTTTGGTTTTCAATTTATCAAAAATTAGTTTGATAAAAGTTCATTTAGTAAAAATCAGTTTGCTAAAAGTCAATTGTTATAACAAAATTTATATTTAAATATATTTTTTTAAAAGTCAATTTAACAAATTAAAAATTGTTTTGATTAATAAAAATTTATACTTTTAAAATGTATTTTTTAATGTGTGATGACCAAAAAAGACATTGATTTATGATAATTTATAAATTTTATTATATAAATATAATATATTAGAAATGTTTAAAAAATGTAAAACAAATTTAAAGTAACATAAAATTTAAAATGTTAAATAAAAAAATATAAAATTTAATTTTGGAAAAAATTATGTAATAAGTAGTTAAATATTCATTAATATTAAATAGTTACATGATTAACGGTTCAATCTATAATATACAATCTGATCTCTAATAGAATCTCAAACCCTATTCATCTCTGTATTGGAGGCTACACTTGAAATTGCACTTAGAATTGTTGATAAAAATGCATGCCCGTCGTCATTATCATTAGTGTTAATCATATTCTTATCCTCAAGACGCTTAAAGTCAGAATCAATTGTAGATTTTCTTCTAAAAAAATTATGTATCGCCATTATTGCACCAACCATACGAACTTGTGTCACAAATAAATAACTAGGCACATGTCATGAGATTGCAAATCTATTTTTTCAAACCCTAAAAATCCTTTCAATCGTAGTCCTTAAACTTAAATGATAATAATTAAAAAACCTCATTATTATTTGCAAAATCAGATAAGTGCCTGAAATCTGAGAGGTGATACTTATGAGATCTATAAGGACATAAATATCAACATGGTATTGGATAACTGGCATCTAACAAATAATATCCACCTACCAATAAAAAAAATAGAAATTGTAAGATCCCAAAAAATATTGATATAGTATTCTTTTTGCTATCCCATCTTAAACTAGTCTCTTTGTTCAATAGTTCGTCCCATATATTATAGTCTTTCCTCAAATTGTCTAATTTGTTCTTCAACTGCTTCTTATCATAGCTTTTAGAGCTCAATGTATTGAACTGTTGCATTAGCACCTCTCAACCTTCCTTTAATAAGGTAAAGCTTTTACGCTCATTTTTTCTAACTCGCTAGAGAGTTGATTTAATGAACAATTTGATCTCTTTGATAGTCTATAGTATCTTCTCTTTACTCATTTTTATTATCAAAATATCATATTTTTAAAATCAAGTTGGAAGAATTAAAATATTTATACATAATATGCACTGTGAAATAAAATTGGCATTACATTAATTTACAAAGAGCCTACTTACTATTTAAGGAATGAGCTCATTTTCAAATTTAATTACAACACGTGGAGACATCAATGTATGAAATAAAATTGAAAACACAAGTTATGAATAAAAGACACCTTATTTGAAATGTGAAGGCAATGTATATATGGCAAGAACAAGTAAAGAAAGTGACAAAGACATTTATATAATCTCATCTTTGATTGCTGATTAGTTTCCTCCTGCATCTCAGTTTACAGACAACCTAAAATTCACTAACCAATTGGTTGAATCATTCCCACATGGAGTTACTGATTATTCAGTCTAAATCAGCCATTTTATTACATCTTTTGATCAAGTATCCATGCAGACAATTCATATTAGTAAGCAGCTCAATAGCAATTATTGCATAGGTTTTCATTAATCTTAGTAAACCACAATAGTTTTGCTTATTTGATATCACAAATCACATGGCTAGGCCATCAAATTGACACAGTTCATTCCTTTATGTTACATTTATCTGATATTTTAGAAAATGCATACTAAAGTTTTGGAAAAAGGAAAAAGAAATTGCACACTATAAGTAAAAAAAAGAGAATTAAGCATCCTTGCAACTTACTTGGAAGAATCTGCTTGTTGCTAACTCTTACGTTCTTATTATGCAAAGATGATAATCAAAAGAAGGCAAAAAAAAAAAAACACTAGGTGTTCAAAGAACATGATCACCACTTAACAGAGTATATCGAAAACACATACCAGATCTACCATATTATACTTCATTGTTGTCTATTAATGCAAAACAGAGTCAGAGGACCATTATTTTCAGATATAACAAAAAATGTTTGGAGGCTATCATACCTTGCAAATCAAAGAGCAGATTGGAGAAGCAAGCTAAAGTTTGCAAATCTGGTTCAAAGGTTTAGTTTTACACTCTACGGGTTATAAATCCAAGCGTCTTGAGTTCTCTTAGCTTCGCAATGTCATTCGAGTCCCAAAACGAGCTCAGTCCATGAATGATTAAAGGTCGAACTGAAGAAATGAGGTAGAATAATGACGGCCATTGATGACAAAAAAAGAGACGAGGAGCTCAAGGAAGAAAGAGATGATGAGCTCAGGATCTGTGACTGGATGGCAGAGGAGAGAAGGAGTAGCGACAGACAATCGACAAATGAACAACGGACGATGAGTGAGAAGTAGCAGAATGAAAGAGAGAGGCCAGCCTTAATTGCATGTGAGGAAGGAGAAATATTAGAGTATTATGGTCCTTTATAGTATTAGATACCAATCATTAAACGCTCACATGACTTGTTTGCATTTCAAAAGTAATCAAAAGGAGCTTTTCATTTTTTAATTTCAGACCCATCTAAAAGTCCTTTTGTAAAGCACATTTCATCTGAAAAATATACTCCAAACAACATTTCACATCCCAAAAGTTAAAAACCACATTTGTGATGTGAAACGTGAGCCACCCAAGCGCACCCTTAAACAGGTAAATCTTTCTTCTCATCTCATTCATAATCATTTTTAACGTTTTTATCAAAATAAAAAAATTAAGATTTTATTAACTTTGCTTAAAAAATCAACAATTTTTAAATCTACCTCTGTTAAACATACTTACTTTAAAATAAAATATTCTAATATTTAATAAGCTTCGCAACATTTAATAGGAGCAAGATGATAAAGATGCCTTATAAATAATATCAAAATAAAAAATTATTATAAATAAATAGCTTCCCATGCCTTATAAACAAGATCGCAATAAAAAATTTCTCTATCCTATATATAGGACTAAGGGTAACAATAGCCTAGATCCAATTAAGCTTTGGCCAAGTAGGTCTAAACCTATATAGTAAATTAGAGGTTTGAGGTCTATATAAAGCTTTTTCATGACTTAGGTTCGAGTCTACTTAAATCCTGACATAGTAGAAAGCCTATTTAAAAGCCTCTGCTTAAAAGTAAGCTTTTTAATATGCTCATATTTTAGTTTTAAACTTCTCAAATATACAATATATAACTTGATTTGTTAATTATAATACATGATAATTGAAAGGGCTTACCAACTATAATACAATTTAACAATGAAGTAACAATATTAAAATTAATATACAAGTCTAATATTATTGAAAATATAATTAAAAATAAAAAAATTAAATGGTAAAACTGATGTGTTTGTGAGATATTACATTACATATATATACTTCTCTGATCCTATTTAGAAGTTACTTTCAACATGTTTTACTAGCATTAAGGAAAATCTTAAAACTCATTAACTTTATCTTAAAATTTAATAAGTTCTCAACTTTACTTGTATTAAATATATATATTTTAATAACGGATTTTTCTCTCCAACATTTAATGAAGGATGAAAGAGGAGTCTTGTGATAAAAATTTAATAATATGACTTATAAATAGGTTGAAAAAAAAAATTCTTCCCCTGCCTTATAAATAAAATCAGAGGAGTACGTAAATGGGTCGACCTATTAGGCTCGTAAGCTAGATCTTAAAAATATGCCTAGTTTATTTAACTAAATAAACCTACTTAAAAGTCTAAATCTGACTTGAGCCTATTTAATAAATAGGTTAGGTTGAATCTAACTGTAATCTCAATTATGAGCCAGGCCTATTTCCACCCTTATATAGGACTAATAGAGTAGCATTTACAATACTTTCATATGCATGATTTAAAATCATGACTTGATTATTGATGAAATCCTTATTAATTGTACCAATGTTGGCAAGAACTGAAGGAAAAGAATAGAAGAAGCATCTGACTCCTTCATGCATGCTCCACTTGGCTCGGGGGGATATAGCTCAGTTGGTAGAGCTCCGCTCTTGCAATTGGGTCGTTGCGAGGTAATCATATTTGCTTCGGTAGATATGCTCTTCAAGCACTTGAACCCACTTGGATCACATCTAGACAAATAGAAGCAGGGCGGCGAGCAATGTCACGAAATGCCCGCCGCGGTGGAAAAATATGGGTACGCATATTTCCAGACAAGCCGGTATATATATATATATATATATTTGTTTCTCTTTTTTGCCAAGTTTAACGTTGAACTGAATTTGCCGAAAAAAAGGTTTTTTTGTTTTTTTATAACTATATCTATATCAATCTTCATGTAATATATACCAATAATCTACAATTATAAGTTGGTCAGAAAAGTATAATCTCTCTCTATATATTCATATATGTTATTTATAAAAATATATATAGTTAACATGCTTTTTTTTAATTAAATTAAAATATTGTAAATATTTTATATATTATTTTCTTATAAAAATTCTTTTTATTAAAAATTTAAACATTTTAAAATTTACTTATTTTGATTTGATGATATAGAAATATATTAAATATATAAATTTAAATATATAAATCATTTTTTGTTTATAAATTTTGTATATATTTAAAAGTTATTATAGATTAGAGTTTTCATTTTTGAGTAAAGGAAAATACAAAGAGAGAAATGCATGGTAATATTTTGATTGGTAGATTTAGATTTAAAATCTGTGTTGTGTTTGGTTTTTAGATAAAATTTGGATAAAATCTAAACTCATAAATTTTTAAAAATCTGGATAAAAAATTTAACTTAAATCTAAATTCACATGTATTTAAATATAGCATAAAAAGAAATTTGTAATTCTTTTGTTAACCAGTCCTTGGGCCCACCATCCCACCAGTTGGGCTAGCGATTTAGCCTGTTAAGGAGTTGTATTTGTAATTCCTTTACTGGCCATGGTTTGGGCCCTCCAGCCATAACATGGGTTCGCTTGGTAGCCTTCTAAGGAATATATACTACAAATTTAGTAAAATTTTTAAATAATCAAATATTAAGCCAGAATTAAATATTTTAGAAAAATGATAGGATATTTTTTTTTGTGAAAGTTAATAAACAAATTCGCATGCAAACAAGTGTTTCAGAACTTAGAAGAAACAGTAATTTGAACTAAAATCTCCGGCTAATAGTAATTTGCTTCTGGTTAAAATGTTATAAATATCAATGATTATTATGATTTAAATAATGATAAATTTTTTAAAATGGGATAGCAAATAACAAGCTTCACTCTTCCCACTTCTCCATTTGTTTTAAAAGAATGAATATCATTTTTATTCCTCAATTTTATCCAAATGATTGCTAGAGATTATAAACTCAACTATAAGTTAATTTTATCCTTTTAACATTAAATATTTCTTCATTCATCACTTTGACATTTAAAAACTCGTAATGTCCTATAGTTATTAGTGGATCCCACCATTTTAAAATAATTTTTATTAGATTAAGGGTTTTTTTTTTGCCCCATCAACTTTTATTTGAAGGGTTATGAGTGGGTACCCTGAATTTAAATATTTTATAATAAAAATATTTAAAAAAAGTAATGTGAAGCCTATTAATGCCAACTAATAGTAAAAAAAATAATAAGGCAATAAGGAAAGTAATATTTAAAATTGAGGGACATAATTGATTTATAATTGAATTTAGAATTTTCAGTGACTTTTTAGATGGATAAAGTTAAAAGATAAAAATAACTCTTAACCTTCCTTAAAATTGAGAGCATTATGGTTATTTCATAAAAGACATTAATATCAGAAAGGTTCCATAAGAGAAATTATCACATTTAAAAGGATCTCATTATCATTTACATCTTTTAAGATGATTTTTTTCCCCATAGGTAAACGGAGTCCTAGCTTTTGTTTTCCGGGGCCAAAATAGCATTGTCCTGATTGAAACTAAAATAAGAAAAGAGAGGACTGCATTAAAAGAAACAGAGAGACATAAACGAAGTACAATTATATAGGAGCAGGAGCATGTGTTAAAGCTAATCTGTTACAAGGAGTCCGCACTCGGGATCCTTGATGGCACCAAATATAATAAATACAAAGAACATAGCTTGTCCATAGACGAACCAGCTACAAATAAAAGGACGGAATTTGTTTTACTTGAAGCAACAAACAGACGCTTTCAGAAAACATTTACACGATATCAGGAAGCAGCGTTTTCTTGACAACATCGGTGATGTGCTTGAGCGATGCTTCTAAATCGTCACAAAGCCTGTGAGGATCAGGAATGACGCTCGGGTCCACAGCCATGGAGATCGTCATCTGATTCACGTAGCTCAGGAAATGGATGGTGAGTGCCTGCAAAACAGATTAAATTTGGACATATTGGAAAATCAAAACCAAAGGACATAAAATTAAATCGAGGAATCGGTTACTTACATGTGGGTGACCACATACGCTAGGGGCGAGGAATGTCACGGGATGACCACAGAAGCTAATCTCTTCCACGGGACCAACAACGTTGGAGAAGGTCAGGGTTGTGTTATATAGAACTCTGTGTGTTATAGCAGCAGCCACCTGCACATCCAGATAAATATATTAAACTCGGGCGATTTTTAAAGGTTGTGACGCAAGGAAAGATATATATTTTCTATTTGTAGTCACGAACCTTCATGCCAAATAGCTTGAGTGCGGATTTTGCACAGCCAAAAGTGCAAATAGCTTCAAGGGAATGCTTCTTGCGGTCGATGGTGGACTTGGCTTGACGAACATATTTCAAGGGATCATCTTGTAAAACGACCGCGAAAGGGAGGATGATGTATCCTATCCAGTTACCCCATTTCACCTTTGATTTCTCAGCCATCATATCTGCCATTTCCTAATTAATTCAACAATATTTGTCATCACCATATTATTATCTTGTCTCTTTGCCATCCCCTGAGATCTATTAAAACTTATAAACACGTACGACGACTTGAGTTTCTCGACTGGTTACTCACCTTGATTCCTGCAGTCGGTCTGACGTTAAAAAGAATGGCCGCCCTAAGCCTCACGTCTTTGAAATTGCTGTCTCCTCGAGGCTGCTTTACGGCTCCGCCATTTGGATTCGCGCCTGCTTCATCATTAAAACGTCGCAGATAATTTGAACCTCATTTACCATTTTAATTGACCATCATTTGACCATTTGCAGACAGCAACTAATTAAGCAAATTGGAACAGAGAGGGGCAGTTTTGTCTTTTTCTTAAAAAAAAACTAATAACATTGAAGTCTGACAGAGCTGTGATTAAGCAGACTGATAGATTTATTTGGGATTAACTTGATTTAATTGTCATTTTTGTTTATAAACGTCATTTTCCTATTTTAAAAACCCTCGTAACTTTACGCGTCCTTTTAACGGTTTTTTTTTTTTTATTGTAAGAAAAAAGGGGGGAAGAATGGTACAGTAAGCAGCATGTCATTCAAGAAAAGAAGCAAGAGAAACTAACCTTGTATCCGATTCAAGTAACGAGCCAGAGCAGCTTGCGTGATCCCCAGTAAAACATCATTGATGGTCTAGTCCATATCCAACCAGAAAAACAAGACATTTTACGTAAATGATTTGAATATGAAAAGCAGGAAAATTAAATCCCGTACGGCCAAGTCTACCGGAAAGGACTACTATTCAACCGAATTTATGATCGCATGCACGAAAACGGAAACCTGAATTAGATCAGACGAAAAGCTTTCCCTTCTCGAACCATAAAAGACCATAAAAAGAAGTGAAAGGTCAGGTGTTACCCATGCCAGACGCTTGCCCAAGCAGGGAAAGTCTTTATAACAGCGCACTACTCCTAGATGCACAACTTTAATCACGAGTAGAGCACAAGGAGGCAAGTTATGCGGCCCCATGCATTGAAGAAAACGGTACGTCCTCATTACAGGACAAGAGAGAATAAAAGAAGATGGAAAGAGTTAATTACCACTTTCATGGCGCTCTTTACAAGCTTAATATCATCCAAGCTGACGTTGCGGTGCACGAAACGCTTGGTAGTGTGCTCGACCCCGGGCAGGCCTTTGAGAGGAGTCTGCGAGTCTCTGAGGAACAAAATGGTGGCAAAGAACATAATCATATCCACGAGGGTGTTCCAGATCAAGGCGAGCCCGGAGAAAATAGCCAGGAACAAGGAACAGAAGGGGGGAAAAGGAGACGGGGGAAGGACGGACAGGGCTCTGTCCTTGGAGGGGGGAAGAGTGGGCAGTGACAGAGGATCAGAGGCTTTGCGAGTGACGGAGAGAAGAAGCGAGATGAGGGAGGCGCCATCTCCAAGGGAATGGTGGATTCGGAAAATGCCAATCCCTTCAGAATTGGAGGTTCTGAGGTTGAGGAGGTGAAGTTCCCACAATGGCCTGCTAGAGTCCAACGGGATTGTGGTGAGGTTGGAAGTATAGTCCTCGATGAATCGGTCAGGCAGGTCCAAGTCGGGGTCTATTTCAGGAACTATAACGTGCTTTTCCAGGTCGACTGTTGTGGGGATCCACCAAGCTCTTCTTCCTTTTTTAACCTGGCCAGTTCAGGTGAGAAGAAGATGGTTAAGTTTAACTAATGGTGCCTTGTGTGTTATAAATAAATACAGGCCGTGAACGGGACAGCAGGGAGGTGGTGGGGGCTGGGGATGTTGGGGATCGGGGAGTTATTAGATGGCCAGATTAAAATGGTGAATAGATGAATGCATGCTATAAGCGTCATTTAATTTGGGTTATATCATTGTGTGTGTGTGTGTGTGTGTCCCTAGTTCACTCATCGCCTTTAATTTTAACTTAACATCTGCGCCCTCTTCTGGATATAATCAAATGAAAACGACTGAAACCATGTTGTGTGGTAGGTTCTGGGCGAGAAAAATTAAGCCTTACCCCCTCGTCGTTCAATTTGTCGTGCTTGATTCGTTTCTTTAATTTCCTCCCTTCCATTAATTCTCAAGCTAAGTTGACCGGTTCAACTATAGTGTCAGGTATAATAAGGCAATATAGCATGCATATATCACGTAATTAGGCAAGCACGGGTAACATGATTCTATTCTTCTAGACACACACATACACACGCACACAGCCTGATTCTATGCTATCATCACTTGCTTAGGTAGCATAATTTAATGAGATAACGTGGATATATAGCAATTAGGTAGTGTAAACAAAATACCACGGATCACGCTCAATTTCATTTTAATTCATGTTCCTGGTTATAGTTTCTTATGTTATTTTAGATGTTTACTCGATCAATTCATGTCTAGCACGGTTTCAGAAGTTGTCATTATGAATCAAATCCAGGCATATAAATTAAAGATTTTCCCAGCTACCCCTACCACATCGACGCGAAGGATCACTTTTTTCCCTGCAACAGGGGTTTACTTAGGGAAACGAAAGGAGAAGCTATATATATAGGGTGATGTATTAGAACCATCAATTCTGGAGTAACAACTGATATAAGATAACAGAAAAAATTAGTATATAAGATAACAAAAAAATTAAACAAATATTAACCCTTAAGTTGCTATCTGCAACAAAATTGATGATGATCCTAAATTTTGAAGTAAAAAATCGTCTTTAGAAAAAGTACACAGTATTGAAAGAAAGTAATAATCATATCCTCCGTACGTTGTTGTATCACCAGTACTAGTTGCGGACAGATAATGCAGCAGTTAACCAAAGTTCGAAAAGATATACGCAACAAATTAAAAGTGGCGCTTAAGATATGTAGGCAAATCAAATCCGGTCCAGACTCCAGATCAACACAGAGAGGGAAGATCAAAACAGAGAGAAACGAAACTATATATAACATGGATAAAGGAGAAGAAAACTACCGTACAAAAGCAGAATATGCAGAGAGAGAGAGAGAGAGAGAGAGAGAGAGTGGGGTGTGAGATTACCAGCTTGCTAGTGAACCGGGGATGCTTAAGCAAAGTATGGCGCAAACCTTCTTTAATGACATGAGGGTTGATTCTGGTCTTGCTTCCAATGGAAGCAATGACGTAACAGTTTAAGGTTGGCGCGTGAAACAGCTGAGCCGCCGGACTCATAGCTTCGCCCTTGTACACAGCGTTGGCCTCGCCGGAGCTACCCATTTCCCGTCTCTGGCTGCTTTTCTGCTTGTAACGCTGCTTTCCTATGCTTTCCTATATCTTAGAATGCATGCGCGCGCGCGCTCATATATTGCAGCTGCCACAGTGCAAAAGACTTTTGCACCCTCTCGGGTTTAATGAAAATCAATCTGGGTAGGTGGGGTGCGTGGATGGAAATACGATCCAAAAATAAATATACATTACATTGGATGGCGTTTCTCCCAAAATTGTTTGTATACATACATACATACATACATAAATACACACACACATATATCAAAAATTGAAGCTGCAATGACTAGTTTAGTGGTTAACTATCAAAATACTTCTTGAATATAAACTAATTTTGTGATTTTTGAAAAATGGTAGTTAATAATTTAAACTTGTAGAAAAAAATGTGATTTTTTCAATCTCATCCTTTACTGCATTTAATAATCATAATAAAGAGCTTTGTAAAAATTAAAAGCATGCTAACACCTTGTTATAATTAAGGAAAGGCAAAAGGCAAAAAAAAAAAAATATTTGTTACATCTTTGCTCTATATTTAATTTAAGATAAAGCAAGGTTTTAGAACTTTACACTACAATTTGGACTAGATAGAGTGTATATATAATTACCCGCGTATGAAAAATGATTAAAGATAACAAAAGTACGTGAACAAACAAAAATTAATATCTTCCAAAAGCTACAACAACAATAATAAATGACATTATCTACTTTTTGGCTTCTTTCGGCCGGCGGTTTCAGTAATACATGTTAGAGTTTGGATCTAGTGGGTTTAAGATCTTCGGTATGACAGGTTTGCGCCAAAATGTCAAATATATGTAAAAAGATATTAAATCCATTTATGGTTGTGGTTCAAAATCTTGAAAGTGTGAGGTAAATCGGTACAAATTTCCCAATATCAGCGCGCAATTTTCCCAGTGAAAGAGTTGGCGACTGATTTGCACATGCAATCAATGGGGTATATATAGAAATGATAAGTGAATTATAGTGTTTGGCAGGTTAGAAAATTTTACCGTAGTCACGTGTTTTATTTTGAAAGAGGAAGTGCTGTGACCGGTGAGAATTGGTACAGAGAACCCCATTATCCGTTCTGCTTAATCAGAAGGGACCCAATAAGTATGATAGTTTCCAAATTATTTCCGGCGCATTTCCTCCTTTTCGTATGATCCATATTTAATTTTCGGTGTTATCATCAGGTCTCCATGTTACGTGCGTGTGTTTAATGTTAAGTATCTTCCGAGATTAATTCTGTGGGGGCATCAAAGAGATCGAGAACGGAAGAATGAGATATTAATAATCAGGAAAAATACGCAGAGTGAAAATAATTGTAGCTGGAAAAAAAAGGGGGGGGGGACTAGTTGTACGGTCGAGGGTAGAAGCGTGAAATGGAACTATAGAGAAATTAATATTAATATATGCGTATGGTATGAAGTTGCTAAATTGAATGCTGTGTTCAGCTTGTCTCCCCAACCATGCGTGGATTCGATGGCCCTGCAATTGCATATAATTATGAAATTTAATGCACGCTAATATCCCACCAAATAACTAAATATATAGTACACTACATCTGCTCAAACGGTATGGTTTATTATGGAGTTTATATATATAAATATATGTATGTGTGTATTTTACCTCGATTTGTCAAACATTCACAACTAAGAGGTTGTCAAATAAAGTGCGCAATTTATGAGTGAAGATTAATTACCGCTAAAGTGCTAAAATTAAATCCGAAACATAGCATAATCTTGTGATCTGAATAAGAAGATAAATTGAATATTTTCCACCAAGTCATGCCGCATGTATGTGGACATGCTCTATGACTGAAGAGAATCGGAAGCAACTAGGCAAGGGCATGAATATTCCGACGCACGTCGGTTCTGTCCGTCCAGGTCAAAGCTCACTGGGGAATCAAAGAATACGCCTAATTCCACACAATTTTTGGCCTAAAAAAAAACTCAATTTTTACACCAATTAATTAATTTCACTGCGCCCCAACTATAAACGGCCAATTCTTTTACTTTCAACCAAAAACAAAATTATCATTTATCATTTTTTCTCGAACATACACATGGGTGCTTGTCACTTGATGAACGTCTATACCATCCAGATTAAAGTTTAGAATGCAAGGTTTATTTTTATCCTTTTATTTTACATTTATTATAAAAATTATAAAATTTAAAAATTATCTTACCATCTAGATAATGCAGATTTGTTTGAATAGTTCAATTTATTTTTTTATCTTTTTAAACTGACCATTTAAATGTATTTTAGATCATTTGGATTTATTATTAAATTTTAGAATTTTTATAAATTTAGTTTAGTAAATATAACATTAAAAATAATGATAATGATAATTTTCAAACTACCACTTCAAAAAAATTAAGAAAGAGTTGCAATTTTAAAATTTTAAATCTAAATTATTTAGAATATATTTAAATAATTAATTTATAAAAATATAAAAATATTTAATATTAAATTGGATCATCTATATTAAATTTACATCATTCAAATTGATGATAAAATACATTTATTAAAATTTTTAATTTTATTTTAATAAATATAAAATATAATGTAAAAATAAAATTTGTAACTATGAACCGTCCATATTTAAAATTATAGTAAATTTATAAAAAAATTTAATATTAAATTGAATCATCCAGATTAAATTTACATTATTTAAATTGATAATAGTGTAAATTTATTAAAATTTATAATTTTTATTTTAATAAATAAAAATAAAATTGTAAATCTGAACTACTTAGATTAAAAAATATTTCCTTCGTTAAAAAATATAAGATATTTTTAATCTTTAAAAGTATAATCATTGCTTTTTTTTTCTTCCAAAAGTGTCTTTATTAATAATGACTTTTTATTTATTGTAGGGTGTTTAATAAGGTAAATATAAAAAGGTATGGTTAGTTTAAAAGTAGATAACTAATTTATTGAGAGGTGAGATTTAATTAAAAATAACTTATATTTTAAACGGAGAGTGTATGATGGTACGTGTTACTCATCATGTGATGACATGATGAATACCGAAACCAGACAGCATATGCAACGAGAAGAGCATCGGAGCAACGCGAGTTTTGGAGCAGTACGAGAAAAAGGAAATTTGCTAACTGTATCTCAAGCCCACGCTGTGAGCTTGAGGAGTCGTATCGTGAAGGTCACGGGCACTTGTTTAAATGGACCGCATAAGTGTTTCGATCGGATGTTCGTTCGGCAGCTATGAGATCAAATTATAGTGCTCCGCGATCGAGTTTTGCAATGTCAGAACTCATCAGTTTTTTCCTTTGGAGGTTGCACTATACATCCTACCATTTTTATCAACGATAAATGTAAAGTTCAAATTCAAGTGGAGATGAGCTTGCGTGATTTCTACTAAAGCTTCTTGATGGCCTAATCATCCAAGTGAAAGCAAAAAAACAAAAAAGGAGAGAGAACAAGGAAGATCAAGTCCCGTGTATATAAACCACAAAAGATCATTATTCTTCAACCGAAACTATGATGGTATGCACAAAAATGGGAACCTCGATGAAACCAGATAAAAAGCATTCCTTTCTCAAACCATAGAAAATCTTATATCTGTTTGGTATCAATTAACTGATTGCATACAGTAGAAGACTCGAAAACTTATGAGCATTAATTCATGGTGAAGAGAGCAGGGGCGAAGACAGGGAGATCAGCAAAGGTCGTCGCTCCCCTAATTTTTTTTTATTTTTTCTTATTAAAATGTACGGATTAACTATTTTTAATTCCTTAAATTAATATATTATAAAAGTCTTGAGACATTAGATGAAATTTTCATTTTAATTCTATAGTAGTTTTTTACATATACATAGTGTCATAATCTCAGTAGCTTGAAGATATAATTATTATATAATTTACTTATTTTAAACAAGATAATATTTTAGTTGCTCTTAAAATATTGATATCATTTGATTTTATTTTTATTTTATATTTGATAAAACATTATGAGACTTATTACTAACAAATTTTATCAAGCATTGAAACAAAAAGTTCAAAACATATGGAATGCTATGTACTTGATATTTATCATAAAATCACTAATGCAAAAATTAATAAGTTATGATTAAGATATATTCTTATAAAAAAGAAATTACTTTTTTTTGTAATAATCAAGGTATTGAAATTTATTATATGAGTAGTTTTACTATAATATATTTAATTTCATCAATATAAAGAATTTATGATAATTGAGTATTATTACCTTATTGATATATTATTATTACAATTATCAATTGAAATGATTAAATAGTAAATTCAATAGAAAGCAATAGAATTTTTTTAGATTGAACATAATTTTAAATTATAAGGATGCATTTGAATTATTCAATGTCCATGGGAGAGATGAAACCATCACTACTTTAATGATAATTTATATTAAGAAAAAATTACTAAAAAATTTATCATAAACTTAATAATTAATATTCTTGTATAATAAAAAATGATAAATGAAACTTAAAATAAATAAATATATTTATTTTTGTTATATATATGTGTGTGAAAAATTAAATATAAATATATATGTTAAATATTTACGCTATGCTAATAATATACTCCTTCCATTAAAAATATAAAGTATTTTTAATGTTTTAAGGTGTAATCATTATTTTTTAAAAAATATTTATTGATAATGACTTTATATTTATTGTAGAATGTTTAATAGAGATAAATATAAAAAAAATAGCGTTAGTTTGAAGTAGGTAACTATTTTATTGAGAGATAATATTTGGTTAAAAATGTCTTATATTTTTGAACGGATAAAATATATAATTTAATATTCTCTTAATTATTATATATTTTCCAGCCCTCTTAATAAAATTTCTTGACTCTCCTGGAAGAGATAGAGAGTACACCAACTGTTTATCATGATTCCAAAAGCAGCGTACTCTCCTTATTCGAACGTCAATTTAACTTCAAGCTAAGGCTCCGCCCAGTAATTAACCACGCCAGTATTTCGACAGCCTTCCTCAAATGTTTTCAGACTCGCGACAATAACCAGACGACAAGTGC